TTAAAACAAATATGCCATAAATATTTGATTTAAATGTCAAATAAATATTTACAAGAAATATTTTTATAATATATAAGAATCTGTCGCTTCAACCTAGATTAAATATTGCAAAAAAATATTACTGTAATATTTGTGTGCTATCTGGGATCGCTCTCTCCCACACTGCGTTGAGTTCAGCACATATGCAGATTAATACCCCCAACATTTGCCTTTAGTGAACGGGGATTAATTCATTGAACACTTGGAATTAATATCAAACAGCTTGTTGATGAACAAATTCCTTGGCAATTAATTGCAATTTGATTATTACCTAATTTACTTCTGTCCTTTTCTGCGAAAGTGCGGAAAATTATAGAGCCGTTGAGCGCAACGGTAAACAAGACCGAATTAGCCTATGTTTATGTTTGTTTATTTGGCATTTAAAGGTTGTTTTTTTACATTAATCGAATTCCAGTGCGTGATTTGGAATTCTAGTTTGAATATTCCTGCTTCTATTACCAGTTGAGTGCAGTCTTCTAGGCAACGTAAGTAAATGGCGCTTTGTGACTGGAATTCAAATATTCATGTTTATTTATTTTCTATTAGTAGCCGATATTCATCAATACCAATGTTTTACATGATAAAATGTCTATTTTTGGCCATCTTTGAGCGAGTCTAGGAAAATGCGTTTCTTTTAAAGCTCAAGTCATAGTGTGTAGGATTGGTAGATGGATGTGTAGGACAAGTCCAAACTTGAGCATTTATGTATGCATGTTCTTGAAAGTTGACCGGTTCGATTAGTTGAGTCATATTTATTCACTGTTAGGTTGAAGAATAAGCCAGTAATATCCACTAGTGTGCACAGGTATGCTTCAATATAATGACTAGGCGATTAACCGATTATTTTTGCAATATCTCCCCTAGTCAAATAACATCATGCTACTACAGCAGCCCTAATGCATATTGCGGAAAATTACATTGTAGATTTATCTGAAGTAGAATTTAAAATTGAAAAGTGTATATGTTAGGGAGCGGCCTGTTGTTCTGGTGCATGTTCAGAAAAAGTGTATCTATTTCCTTTTTCAGTTTGAACCCGCACTTTTAGGAAACTTATTAGACAAGTTTTATTCTGAATTGCACCAAAGACTGATCTCCAAAATTCCCATAAATTTCATGATTTATTCCTAGTTATGTTATATCAAGTACATATACAAAAGTTCAAATACCATCAACCTAAGGCATGAATCATTTTTAATTAAAAAGTAACCGTGATTCTGTTTGTCGCCACTTCCTGATTCAATTTGCTTTTATTTCATCACAGTTATTTTTAAAAATGCCTAATACCCATGCTGCTTTGAGAATGGCATTAATCTATTAATAGAAATAAACAATGCACACCATTTCATCAATTTCTTTTTATGGAGCTCTGAAACACTTTGGGTTTGCAATATACAATTTACCTAAATTTTGTTCGTGTTTCGATTTGATTTGTACATGGACAATGGTTTTTTTATTTTAATAATTTAAAAAACATTGTTCAAAGTTGTAAAGAAACAAAATTAGCGCTAAATAGTGTTTAGAGTTTTAAATTCCAAAACAAAATTCCCCGTGCGTTTTTGACAAATTTCGATCGTTCTAAATCTGCGCCTGGAAAATAAATGTCTGGGCTTCTTCAAAAGATTCAATCCAAATGTGTCACGATTAAAAACTATAAATAGAGCTAATTAAGTACTATGTTTAGACGGCACTTCAGGCATACGAGCACGTGGTGATTTTTTTAAGGCAAATATCGATAATAAAAACAAAAGACACTCAACTGTACTAACATTTGTGATTCTTTCGGTCTAACCGCCCAAACAAATAGCATCTAATGAACGCTAAAGGCTTTCGGTATGGTGACTATTTCATGACGATTTACCAAAGTACCAAAGCACTCGTGCAAAGTGCTGGCTTAAAATATTCAGAACAATTACCGGGGAATTTACAGGAAAACATGCGGATGTAATTCATAATTGGGAATCACTATGCTTTACCCAAATTTGAATAAAACTGAGATTGTGTTTAATAGTAAATTTAACCTACTGGTCATACTTGAAATATTTGTAATGAAACGTGTTACCACGCGTCACGATCAAAGTGTAAAATTTTTAATTGTTTTGTCCTTTGCAAGGTGCAAAGGACAAAGCTGAAATTGGCGATCCAGTACAAAAACTGCAGTTCGATAAGCAAGTTTTTAAGTAATTTTTTTTCTTAATTAGGGTAGAGCAAAATGACTGAACGTTTAGATATTCTGATTTTGGGGGCTACTGGTTTCACTGGAAGTCATTGCATCCCTTACATAGCGAAACTTTCAAAAGAAAACGGCAGAAATTTGAGCTGGGGGGTGGCTGGCAGATCTGAAGAGAAACTCAAGAACGTTCTCAAAGAATATGGAGACAAACTAGGTATGCCTATCGCATACGCTGGAAGCATGTGACAACATTAAATGAAATTTTCTAGAATTGGATTTTGGTAGTATTCCTGTGGTTATCGTCGATATAAAGGATGAGGAATCATTGCTGAAAATGGCAAAGGCAGCTAGGCTGGTCATCAATTGCTGTGGGCCATACAGATTTTTTGGAGATGCAGTTGTTAAAGCCTGCATTGAAGCAGGAACACACCACATTGATGTAAGTGGTGAACCAGAGTACATGGAAACTGTGCAAGTTAAACAACATGATGCTGCAAAGGAGAAAGGTAAACTAATATTTGCCTGATTGACTAAACTGCTAAAACCAAGGTAATTTACAGGCTTATATATTGTCAGTGCTTGTGGTTTCGATAGCATTCCTGCAGATCTGGGAGTCATATTTATGCAACAAAACTTTGAGGGTACTTTAAATAGTATCGAGACATTCATGAGAACGTGGACTGAGAAGTCATGTAAAGGTAACTTAAATAAAACTGTTCTTCCAGAGTCATAATCCATAATTTTTATTAGGGCCTTCAGTTAACTATGGCACTTGGGAGAGTGCAGTTTATGGCCTTTCTAATTCAGACAATTTGCGGGAAGTTCGAAAAGAATACGCTAAAAAATTCGATAAAGTTGCAGCTTTTGCTCCAAAGCTACCCCGTAAAAATTTACCACACAAGCCAAAAACTGGAGAGGGCTGGGCTTTGCCATTTTTAGGAGCAGATCGATCAGTTGCGACTAGGTCTCAGCAGTATCTTTACGAAAACGACAATATTCGTCCAGTTCAAGTAGGGAAGCTACATCTCGTAAAATCACATAAAAACTTTTTTTTGTAGGTGGGGACATATGTCGTATTTCCTTCTGCGATTGCAACTTTCGTAGTCCTTTTGTATGCGATTATTTTTGCTTTTTTGTCCAAATTTGAATTTGGCAGGAAGTTATTGCTTGACTACCCTCAGTGCTTCAGTGGGGGATACTTCAGTAAGAAGCCTCCCAGCGAAGAAAACATCAATAGTGCGAGGTTCAGTATTGATTTTTACGGCGAAGGTAAAAAGAATAAATCCAAACTTAGAAATTCGTTTTGCAATATAGAGAAATTCCATTCCAGGTTGGAAGGAAAAATTAGCAAGCAAAGATGACCAATATACCACTCCTGTTGATACGTTTATTAGAGGGCAGGTAAAAGGAAATAATCCTGGATATGGAGCGACTTGTGCTTGTTTGGTGTTGTCCGCTATTGTTGTTCTTACAGAAACTGATAAATTGGCTAACAATGGAAAGTACGTATTAAAATAAAATCTATACACATTTTTACTTTATTTGATTACGTGTGCTTAGGGGAGGAGTGTTTTCACCTGGTGCGGCTTTTGCTAAAACATCTCTTGTAAAGCAACTCAATGAAAATGGAGTCACCTTTGAAATTCTGGAGCAAGGCGAGATTAAACGAGATTAATTTTATGTAAGGTGTTTGTTGCATTTATTTAACTTTAACTTTCCTCCTATAGATCTGTGCCTATACATGTATTAAATTGTTAACGGGGACCCGGTTTTTAATGTTCTAAATGTATTTATCGATATTATAGCATGTTTTAGTACTTTTTTCGTCACAAGAATATAAACTATTTAACATATAAAATATATCTAGTTATGGAGTAATAGATTAATGAATTATAAACTAGTGTGCCTAATAAAAACTATAATCTTTTTATGCCGTGTATTATTTCCTCACCTAGACGTATTAAGGCAGTACTATTAAATGAACGACCGACTTTGTATGCAATAAAATTAGCAGATTACCACCCAATCAGTCGGGTGTGTAATAAACTCTTCAGAAGCTCAAACGTCTCTACCCTCCAATTATTGTTAGATATTACTAAGGTTATACTCGAGAATCTGTGATTGACTGCGACTCTATCACGGAAGGATTGATATGATTTCATTCAAATAAAATCAGACATAATTGCACATTTAATTTAATACCAATAATTGTGTTTTATACAGGTTGAGTACAGAGTTCAAGTGACAAATAGATTGTATTTGAAGAATTGATTCCTGGACAAGGTGTTATAACAATACTATAGTAGGAAAAAATGAGTATTTATGATTGTTGCGCGGTGAACGTTCTGAACAATCGGTATAAAATATATTACCACATTTTCAAGCATATAAACAATTAATTGCAATCGTTTAAAGCGTTTTTTCATTAATACAAGAACGGTCTTAAAGCTGTTCGGACCATTTTTCGAAATTTTGCTGCCCCTAATCTCCATGTTTTGGCCAGATAAACTCTGAATCACCCTGTATAGTAAGTACTTAATTATATAATAAAATATATTATTTAAATATAAATCACATTGACTAGACATACGAGTAACAATATTTTTTTTACACTCATAATTTGATTGGTCCACCCGATTTTAAAATTCAATAGGTAATAAAGGCTTATACGAATATATTCGATGTTTTAGATCGACTTAAAAAGTAAACTGGAACCAGCTGGAACTGGCCGAAACTGTTTAGAACGTGAACTAAATCAATGTCCTAAACTGATTTCACATGGAACACAATATATTTTTTATAAAGGTATTTAAAGGATGGAACTTGGTATATCACAACTGGACTCGGAGTCCGCGGAATTAAATTCAGATCTAACTTTTCTAAATGTAAAACTGTGGCTGATATATCAATTTATCGCTTCGGAGTCTGGTGGTCCTGGCATCTTAAGCGCGTTGATAAAATGAAGAGAATTATCGAGAGCCTCGCAATAGAATATGTACGAGGTGTTCCCTTTTGTACTGTATATTAGAAAGTCTTAGTTTCAAGGAAAGTGTACTTTACCTAACAGATAAACGCCTTTTAAGAATAGTTTAACGGTAATCCTAAACTTGTCCTATCTTTGTGGAACGTTAAAATTAATGGCTCAGTTCGTCCTGAATTTCAGCAACACTTTTTCCTTTAGTTTCAGGGAGCATCATTATAATAAAGATTGCTCCAATGATTGATAGAATAGAAAACGAATAAAACATTGAATCATCGCCTAAAATTTGATATAAGGTTAAATAGGACTTTGTAAGAACAAAAGCGAGACACCAGTTGAATGTTCCCGCCGCTGAACCGACCATGCTTCGAATTTCAGTCGGTAAAATTTCTGAAGCGATCATCCATGGAATCGGGCCTAGACCTATCATAATTACCAAATAATTTAGTATCTATTTATGTCCCACATAAGCACTTACCTAAGGAAAATCCCAATACAAATAAGCATACAGCTGCAATAGGAATAAACGCTATATCGGAAAGTATGACTCCGTTCACATGTAATCGGGTTTTTACAGAAAAATAGATGCCAAGGATTACACTATTTACGGCAACTGTTGATAAAGACACAATGAGAAGTTTCTTTCTGCCGACTTTTTCTATTATTAAACTAGCAAATAGAGTGGCCCATACTTGCACAGCACCAACCTGGAACAGACTATGATTTTAAGGGCTCAAAAGACTAAGCAAAGAACCTACTATAATGGTGGCTACATTCGAATTGAATTCAATGCCAGTGGATTGAAAAATAATACTGGAATACATTATGATTACGTTGATGCCGCTGAACTGTTGGAAGAACATTAATGCGAAACAAATTATCACAGCCTTCACTACTGGTCTTTGTGTTAATATGTCTTTAAGCGAAGTAGCTGATTGAGTGTTCTCTTTCAAGCCGCCTGAAAGAAACGAAATGTGTTACTTTGAATGTTTAGCTCAAAATTCACCACCTTCAATGCGGGTAAATTCGGAATCCACATCATAATTGGCACCTCTTAGTTTGATAAGACTCTTCTTAGCTTCTTCATAAGATCCTTTTTTGATTAGGTAACTTGGCGTTTCAGGTTGATACATAAATAATATGTGGAATATCAAAGGCACACATGCACAAAACTCTGTGAACTGGAAACGAATCAGTTTCATATGAGTGGGCCGTCAGTATACAGGGTGATTCAATTTTTGATCAGCACAATGAGAGATGATACAACTCGCAGAAATCAGTAGAAAGTTGTGCCTTATAAACATATTGTAACGGAAATGGCCTGGGGTACTCACGTTTGGAATGGGGGATCGAAATTCATGGTATTTCAGTAAATGGGAGCCCCATTTACTGTC